GGTGATTTGAATAAAATTTGGAAATCAAGTGGAAGAACAGTAGTTGGAAAGTCTGGACTTGGTGACAGAAATGAACCTGGAGATCTCATGACTGAATATAGTAAGAACAATAACTTGTTCATAGAAAATCCCCTTTTGCAACAACACAAACACATAGACTTTGCCAGATGGAATACAGAGGGACTACATCTGTGAGAAGAGACATGGAGAAGCTCAAAATTAGCAGCTGAAACCAGGCCAAGGGCTAACTGTGGAACAGACCATCAATTGCTGCACATTTGTATGTTCAGACTGAAGATTAAAAAAACATAGCCTATCAGAGCTAAGATACAACTATGAGTCTCTCCCACCTGAATTTGAGAACATCTCAAGAACAGATTTGATGTATTTCTGAACAACAATGAGAGAAGACCTGTTGAATAGTGGAAAGACAAAAAGATTATCATTCATGAATAAAGCAAAAGGTCATTAAAAGACAGGAAAGAAAGGATAGAAGTATATGTCAGCAGAGAACCTGAAACTTGTTCTAAATTTTAGAAGAGCTAAGGCAAATGGAAGAAATGATGAAGCCAAAGGATACCTAGAAACAATTAGTGGGCCGCTCAGGTAGACAGAGCAAACAGTATAATGAAATGTGCAGAGAACTAGAATGAAAGAAGAAGAAGAAGAAGACTATTGGCATATATTACACTGACCAAATCAAGGAAAAATTCAAGCTCAAGTTAAAATATTGAAAGTTTTTTAGCAAAATATTGAGTGATGCAAGAAGGATCAAGAGACGTTAGAAAGAATCAATATACCAAAAAGATTTGGGTGACATTCAACCACCTGAAATATCAATTGAATGTTTCACCAGGCTAATGAAACACTGGAAGTATTTATTGGTCTATGTTAGGAAATTTGGAAGACAGCTAACTGGCCAATGGCTTAGAAGAGATCCATATGCGTACTCATTCTAAAGAAAGATGGCCCAAGAGAAAGCTGAAATTAAAGAACGACATGTAAGTAAAATTTTGATGAATATCACTAGCAGCAGTTTAGTAGTACATTGACAGCGAGCTGTCAGAGGTTCAGGTGGGGTTCAGAAGAGGACTTGCAACAAGGAATATAATTGATAATGTCAGATGGATCTTAGCTGAAAGAAGAAGATATTAGAATGATGTTTACCTGTATTTTATTGACCATGCCAAGGCACTCACCTGTGTTGATCAGAAATAAAAAATAAAATGCTAGGGATAGCATGGAGAAAAATGGGAATTCCACACCACTTCAATGTGCTCATGAGGAACTTGCATGTTGATCATGAGGCAGTTTTGAAAACAGACCGGGGAATCCGCATGGTTTTAAATTAAGGAAGGTGTACTATAGGGTTGTATCTTCTCATCATACTATTTAATCTGTATATGGAGCAAAACATCAGACAAACTGGATTATATGAAGAAGAAAGTGGCATCAGGATTCCAGGGAGTCTTACTGATAACCTATTTTATGCGGATGATTCAACCTTACATCCTAAAAGTGAGGAGGACTTGAAATACTTGATGAAGATCAAGGATTGCTGCCTTCAGATGGATTTGATGTATGAAGAGCAAATTATACCACTGAACCAATAGATGACATGATGAATGTAGAAATGTTGAAGTTGTCAAGATTTAGTCTAACTTGAATGCACAATCACTGCTCAGGGAAACAGTCAAGAAATCAAAAGGTGAAGTACATCAGCTAAATTTGCTCTTGGAAGGTCAGAAAGCTTCACAAAAGTGAAAGGAAAATAGAAGTGGATTAAACCTTCAGTGAATTACATTTGCTTTAGATAAGGGATGTGCAGAGCCTCGCTGTCATGCAATGTTCATTGGACAGTGGATTATTGCAAGTGCACTAGGGGAAATTTTGCCACCTTCTCATTTCATTTGATTTCCCCTTGGACTCATTTTAAATATGTTCTAGTTTTCAATAATTTCTGATTTCTTTTTGATTGAGGTTTTTCTGTTTTATTTTGTTGTTCTCACATATTTGTTTTATTTAGATTTTTAAAATTTACATTATTCTATATATAAAAACCAGAAAAAGTAAGTCTACAGACACAGTCACTGGATTAACTGCTTTCTGGGGGCATAGCAGCAGAGGTCAGGGATAAGGGGAAGCTAATAATAACAAGTACAAGCAAAAAGAAAGTTTTCTCAAATTGATTGTGGTGATGACAGTAGAACTCTTCTTAACATGACTAAGCCATTGAATTGTATTATATGTGAATTATATGCCAATAAAACTTTTTATAAAAGGAATGAAAAGGAAAGAACGATAGGAAGAAACCATAAACAGATTTAGATCAATATCTAAATTTGCTATACTTTCTGAAACGTGTGTGTCCTTGATCTTTCGGCCAGGAAGCTTGAAGTTCCATAAATCACTACAAAGATTATGTTTTAGAAAATAATACGAGATTTTTATGCAATCTAGTGCATACAATTTTCATGCAGGAATTGCTGCAATCTAACCTTGATTCACCTACAGTATCTGACATGAGAGTAAGAGGATTTAGAACAGTGTTTCTCAATGCAGGTGATACCACCCGCTGTGGAGACATTGGTACAATCCGAAAGGATCACAATACACTTTCTGGTGGATAATGGGCTATAGTACAAACATGTTTCATTGCCAGGGGTGCTGACTTGTTTTTCTGTTGTAAAGGGAACACTAGGACAAATACGTTTGGGAACCCATATTTCAAGCACCTGTGCTCAAATGGGGGCATTTAATTATGCGCTTCAGAAGACACTGGAAATATCTGGAGGCATCTTGGATGTAACTATTATCATCTAATGGGTAAAGGTTAGGGATTCTAACCTTATATACATACTATAATAATATTATATTATAATATAATTCATAGTACAACCAAACAACAAAGAATTATTTCATAAAAATGCCAGTAATGAAGACTTTGGGAAACGATTTGTGTAGAGAAATATTGCCCATTGAAAACAAGAGAAAAGGATGTAAAATAAGCTTTAAAGTGAAAGTAATAAAATCTAATTAGATGATTTGAACAGGCCTCCAGGAGGAAATACAAAAGTCAACCACATATTTTCAGATTGCTTAAGGAAGCATATATTTTCCACAGATAAAGATACATGCAAGATGGTTATCCAGATGAGAAGAAATGCAAAATAAATAAATAAATAAATGTTTTAAGCCATAAGATTTCAAGAACATATGGGAGACACACACACACCAAATAGAGAAGAAAATAAAGTAACTATAATTATCTAAATCCATTTTGGCATATACAATGGAAGTCAAAATTACATGTTGAAATAAGATTAAGATTCCTTTAATTTAATTATAGTCTAGGGAGTTTGACCATAATTCAGTAGACAATGAATGAACACTGGTGTTTTCTGGGCAATTGAATGACATGGTCCAACAAATAGAGAAATATACATGATAGTTAAATAAATGCTATTTAAATGAAAACCATTAATTTACATGAAAATTCTATAAGATTTGAAAAGTCCTTTGACCTTAAATTAGATTAGAAAGCAATTGTAACAGCTCAGGAGAAAAGTTTTCCCAGTTTATCTTATGTATGTATGTATGATAATTTTTAAAAATTTGACCATAGAAACCAAATGACAGGTAGAAGAATCAGGCATCAGGATTGGAGGAAGGCTTATTTACAATATGCAGATGGCAAGAGAGTGACCAAAGGACATGAAACATACTCCAATGAAGATCAAGCATAGATTACAACTAATGTCAAAAATATGCCATGATTGAAGCAATGGGTAATATGATAAATGGAAAAGAAGTTGAAGTTCTCAAAGATTCCATCTCGCTTGTTTCCACAACGAATGCACATAAAAACAACAGTCACAAGATCAAAAGAAGCATTGCATCGGGTGAATCTGCTACACTAGACCTCTTTAAAGTGTTGCAAAGCAAGGATGTCAGTTCTTTGAGGACTGAGGTGTGCCTTGTCCAAGCCATGGTATTTTCAATCAATTTCATATGCGTATGAAAGTTGGGCGTTGAATAAGGAATATTGAAGTATTGTTGATGCATTTCAATTATGTTGCTGCCGAGGAACATTAAAGGGCCATGGACTTCCAAAAGAACAACAAATCTGTCTTGGAATAAGTACAGACAGAATAGTCCTTACATGAAAGGATGGTGAAACTCACACACTTGACATGTTTCCCAGTTGATTGAGAAGGACTTTGTATGTTTGGTAAAGTGGAGGAGCAGCGAAAAAGAGGAAGACCTTCCACATCACGGATTGACACTGAGCTGCAACCATGGACAGTGGTGAGGGTGGCACAGGAGCCGGCGGTGTTTTATTATGTTCTATAAAGCGCTGCTTTAAGTCTGATCCATTTCAACAGCTAATAACAGTGAGGTAGAACTAATAGAAGTTGACAGTTTATTCAAAGACAGTACTGTCTGAAAAAATAGTGACCATAGAACATGATCATCCAAGTCTCAAACAATGCCTTTTCTAGGAAATAAAGTAAGGGTCCAAATATACTCCAAGTTTTATAATTATTAGGAGCCTAATTATCCTTGGAAGTGAGGATGGCAAGGTGAGACAATGGTGAGCCTGTATAGCATATTTTCAGGAGACAGGAGAGATCAGTCCCTGGAAAAGGGCATCTAGGTTGATAAAATAGAGGGCCGGTGGAAAACTCTCAAGATGGATCAAAAACAACGGGGTTAAGCAAAACGATGAGGATGGTGCAGGAGCAGGCAATGTTGCTTTGTGCTGTGCATCAGGTGGCTCTGAGAGGAGCTGACTCAATAGCCCATCAGCAACATGGTCAAACGATTACACTCATTGTGATGCAAATGGCTAACTGACTCCTCATTGTGGATGGTGGAAGGGATTTCTGAACAGAACTTGGGCTCGTAGCCATGGAACTATTAGGAGAGGGAACTTACTGAAGCGATAATTACTTAGAGAGCACACATGTGGTTAAGACCACTAATGTCCTTTAACTTACACATGAATCCAAAGATTCCAGTTGTTAAAAGGAAAAGGAAACACAGCAGTCCAAGGATCACTTCAGTAGGAGACCCGGAACATGCAATCGAAGATCCTGCCCAGAGAGAAGATATTAATGAAAACAATAGGGAAAGGCTCAATTAAAGACCAAGAATTAGAGAGAAACTGTTTATAAACTCAAGACCACACCTCTAAAGTCCCTTCAAATGAGAAATTATACACAGGAAAATCAATGCCCTCATTTGAATGAACAGTGACCTGAGAGTTAGATGACTGCGTTTTACATGTACCTCTCAGGTAAATTACTTATTCTAAGAAAAAAAAAATTTAAACCTTTACTATGAGTATGTATGTACTTGCATACATACGTAAATCTTTCTAGCTTTCTCAGAACTTCACTGCTATTTTCTTTTTGGGGGGAGGGGGTTGTATCATACTTTATTGTGTTTT